TAGTCACTATGAAGGGCCTGCATTTCTATTGCTGGTCTAGAAACCAGACTTTGTGATGCCAGCCACATCTGTCTAACAAACTCAAGTCCACAATGCAAAGCCCTTTGGAGAACATAGGCGAGATCTTACCTTCTGTCTCAGGCTATGGCATAAAAGATTAACGAACGCTGACACAGTACATGGCACATGCACCATCTCATCTCATCTCCTTAAGAACCCTCTAGGATCACAATGACTACTTTCACCCCAATGCTATAGAGGGGGGAACCTGAGGCTCAGAGGGACTCAGTAGCTTCCCTGAGATCACACAGCTCATCCTGAGAGAAGCCAGGTTAAACCCAGGTCCTCCAACTCCGGGGCCACTGCGCTGGTGGAGCAGGTCATGCAGTGTTCAAAGGTGAGCAAGCAGGGACTGACACCCAGCCTGCACTTTGCAGGTGCAGCTGTGAACTGGCAGACCTACATCCACCTAGGGTGGGTGCATTGTTCTTCATTTTTAAGATTTATTTATTTGTTTGAAAATCACAGTTACACAGAGAGAGGAGAGGCAGAGAGAGAAAGAGGTCTTCCATCTGCTGGTTCACTCCCCAAATGGCTGCAATGGCCAGAGCTGTGCCGATCCGAAGCCAGGAGCTTCTTCCAGGTCTCTGATGGGGGTGCAGGGACCTAAGGACTGGGGCCATCTTCTACTGCTTTCCCAGGCCATAGCAGAGAGCTGATCAGAAGTGGAGCAGCAGGGACTCGAACCAGCGCCCGTATGGGATGCCGGCACTGCAGGCGGCGGCTTTACCCACACTACGCCACAGCGCCAGCCCCAGGTGCTTTGTTCTTATCTGCATGAAGTTGATGAATAGGCCCATGGTAGCCCTATCCAAATCCTTCCTCTCTCCTACTTTCATTGCAACCCTGTGGCTTCTGCCCTGGAAGAAGTGGGGCAGACAAAGTACAGGAAGAGCCAAGGAGACGCATTATCGGAAGCAAGATGCAGGCTGCACACGTGGGCACGTGAAGACTGCGTGCAAAACAGCTTGTTCCTACAGGAAGCTTTGGGGGCAGGTGTCAGCAGGGTGGGGCAAGGGGATTTGGCTGGAGGCACAGCCACAGATTGTCGCTGATGAGAGCTGTATCTCCTGCCCACCCCTGGCATGTGTGTGGCATCGAGGTGCCCAGTAGGTGGGGCAATTAGCCTGTATCCCAGGGCGCCTGGCTCGCCCTCTCCCCGCCACTACCTTTATGCAGTTAGATTGTGTCTGGTAGTAGCTGCCAAGCCACTTTGTTGTATCTGATGAGTTTATGAATGTCTTGGGGGTGGGTGGGAGATTGGTTTCCTGACTGGGGCTCGGGAACTAATTAGTGTCTCTGCCATGTCCCCAGAGGTGGGACCAGAAGGGTGCCTTGCTCAGGCTGTCAGATCTGGCTCTGGATAAATCATTTCTATCCCAGGGTTTTATGGGAACCTGGCTTGTGGCTTGGGTAGGATCAGGGAGTGTGGGGCTGGAGCCTCTTAAGAGCAGGTGGTTGGTGAGGAGGTGGGAAGATGGGCAGGCAGGTATGAAGTCTCCCCGGCTCTGTTGGTGCAAAGTGTGGGTGTGGGTGACAAAGAGGGTGCTAGGAAGTTCAGTCCTGTCCCCAGCATCCAAATGCTGACTTCCAGCCCCCTTACTTTTCAAGTTCCTTCTGTCCAAATGTCCAAATGTGGCCCCTCCCATTTTGAACACAGGGAAACTGAGGCTCCACAAGGACAAGAATTTCATCTGGCTTTGTGGAGTGTCAAGGCCAAGGGTAAGAAAGCTGTGTGTCTGTGGTTCTTCCTGGTTGGCCGAGGCACTTGAAGCCATTGTCTGGTTAGTGAGGCCTGCTTAAGTGAAAGCGCGTTAGCATCCCCACCCTAAGAGACACAGTAGGGACAAGAAAGATCACAAACTGAGAAGTCAGACGGGTCTGGGCTCAGAGTCGTGCCTTCTGGTGGATGCTGCTAGACAAGCCCTTGGACAGCTCTCAGCCGCAGTTTCTTCCTAAATAAAACAGAGACACTGTAGCTATTCTAAAGCAATCATGGAAGAACTCAGAGATGATGGAACATGACAGTCTAATCCCACAGATGTCCAGTAGCTATGGCCCTCTCCCCTTTATCCAGCAGCCCACCGCTCAAGCCCCCTGCTTCCCCTGCAGAGAGATGAGGAGGAAGGGGAAGCTTGGACAATAACAAGGCTTAACTGGCCCCTTGAAGAGACCATAGGGGCGGGGCTGGCACTGTAGCATAGTGGGTTGAGCTGCAGGCTGAAGTGCTGGTATCTTATATGGGCACCACCGGCTCGAGTGCCGGCTACTCCACTGCCCCCAGCTCCCTGCTAATGCGCCTGAGAAGGCAACAGAAAATGGTCCAAGTGCTTGGGCCCCTGTAGCCACCTTGGAGGAGCTCCAGAGGCCTGAGGAAGGCTCTCCTGCCTTCTGCCCACGCCTGACCGACTACAGTGCTCTGCTAGTAGGCAATGCAGCTTCCAAGGCCAGTCTCTGAGCAAGGTTCTGGAGTGCGAGCATGAGTAAGGCCAGCCCTCGCTGCCATGAGTCACACAGGCTAGTGCGGGAAGTGCACAGGCAAACATGAAGTGCAAGAGAACACTGGAAACATCAGGCAGGATGGCCGTGCAGGCTTCTCTGGGAGGCCTTAACCTCTTCCAAGGTTAAGAGCACAAGGCTTAAAACGCAGGCCTCTCAGTTGCTGGGCTGTGTGGCCTCAGTCAGGAGAGTTGGGTGGCTGCTTATTTTGGCCTCAGTTTCTCTATCTGTAAAATGGGTCTCACTCTTGGGCTATGGGTGACACTACTTGCAAACCAAAAGGAGCATGAGCATGTACAGCAGTGTTCTGCCCATGCAGAGGTGGAGGAAACAGCGCACCCTTGCCCAGGCAGCATCCTTACAAAGGCATGGACAACTCACAGAGGTCATCACCCCATTACTACCTGAGAGGCCCCTGAGGCTCCTGCCTGGGACTGGAGGCCAGTGAGAACTCCCTGCTGGTGGGCTAGGGTCATCCTGGGTCGGCCCTGCCCTCAACACACTCCACCTTCATCCTGAAGGCATAAAACTGGTTTCTGTGCACCCAGAGTGGGGGTGTGGCGGCCAGAGGTGAGCCACGTCTTCAGTGTTGCTCAAGCCTCCGCAAGGGAACCCAGGGCCCAGCTCCGAGGGGTAGAGCCGCTTGGTGTGTGTGGAACTCATGAGGGCTTCCCAGGGAAGCTGCCGCTGGCGCCTGGCGATGCTGCCAGAGGTGGAGGAGTGCCTTTTGTTGGGTTTCCAGCCAGCTGTCGCCGTCTCTGCTGCTGCCCACTGGAAACACAGAGGCGCAGATGATTTGCCAGGGACTCCAGCTAGAGCGATACACAGGGGCTTAATGCATGGGCGTTACATATTCATGTATTATTTATGTGATTTATATTTATGTATTATTTATATGTAATTTTTACATATTCTATATTTATATATAATGTAGAAGGACTTCCCCTGGGAAAACAAACAATCTCAAAGCTCGCTGCTAGAGCAGGCAGTTAGACTAGTGGTGAAGACACCCACAGCCTGCATCCGTGTGTCTGGGTTTGAGTCTCAGCTCCAGCTCCTGCCTTGAGTTTCCCACCAGTGCAGACCCCAGGAGGCAATGACGACGCTCAGGTGATGAGTGCCTTCCACCCGGGTGGGAGACCAGACCAAGTTCCCGGCTTCCGGCTCTGGCCCTGGCTCAGTCCCAGCCATTGTGGGCGTTGGGGGAGTAAACCAGAGGATGCGGTTTTTCTCCCTGCCTCTCACGTAAATAAAAATGAAATACAGCCTTCCACTGCCGTTGAGTTTAGGTTTGGATAACTTGTAGAATGGGGAGCTAAGTAAGTAGTGTATTTTTCCTCCTACAGGTGATTAAGACAATAGGATAAGCATTGTACACTTAAGCACTTGTTAAGAGAGTAGATCCATGTTAAACGCTCTTACCACCATAAAATAAAATAAAGAGAAAAGTCATTAATTTATTTGAGAGAGATTGTGCGCCCATCCAGGGGCTTACTGGTCAGTGACCTTAATGGGCAGGGCTAGGCCGAGGCTGGAGCCAGGAACTCAGTCCGGGCGGTAGGAGTCCAATTACCCGAGCCGGCGCCACTGCCTCCCGGGCCAGCACGGCAGGGTGTTGCCGTCAAGGAAGCTGGGACTGAGACTCGGGCACCCGACAGGGGATGTGGGCATCTGGACGAAATCCCTGCTTTGGAAATAACATTCAGTGAGTGCCACGTAAAATAGCTCCTCATGACCCAAAGAAATGTCTGGATCAGTCCCATTTCACAGACGGACACACACCCAGAGAGGTTCGGTAGCTCTGCTGAGGTTGCACAGTGAGGTCTGGGTGAATACTGGAGCGTCAAGCACGCTCTCAGTTGGCTCCGTAAGGCGTGGCATGCATTTCCCTCCCCGCTGACAGCGGGGAAAACAGGCTCAGAGATGTGAGTACTGCATGGGTTCTCACAGCGAGCAGGTGAATCAACCTCCCTCTTCTGGGTCTTCCCCGCATGCGTTCCTCCAGCCCTGCAACCACGCCGCAAACATTTACCAAAGTATTTCCAGTCTCTCCAGGATGCCCCGTGCTTCTCACGGAGGCCAGCAGCGCTGTGCCAGGCAGGCCAGAGCAGAGGGGCCATGTGGCCCACTCCTGCCTCGGACCGATGTGGTTCCCCGTGTGAGAGAGCCACCCTGAACCACGTCCTGCTCCTCATCGGTTGTTCTCTGTTCCTCTCCGAGGCTACCTTCCTCACTTCCTTTACTTCCACAGGTGCCCCCTCTTCCATCCAGCACCCCCTGCTCCGTGCCCCTGCCCCTCCCTCTTGCCGAGGCTCACCTGCAGCCCAGCCCACAGCAGGGGCCCAGCCCCTGGGCGCCTCGCAGCCCTGGAGCCCACAGCCCACCCAGTCTCCTCCTTGGCCCCTTTCTTCCCAGTCCTCTGTCTCCATTGCTCTCCTCAGATCGGCCAGTGGCACGTGGCGGAAGGCCTCAGTATGGACAGCCGCCTCTACGCCTCCAACATCTCCGACAGCCTCTTCAACACCACCCTGGTCGTCACCACCATCCTGGTAAGCGGGGCCTCCCGGGCCTCCCAGCTGCAGCTCCCCAGGGCGCCTCCCCGGCCCTCAGCACTCACCGGCTTCCCAGGGAACAGAGGATGGGAGCGCTAATCACAGCACCGAGGCCAATTTCTGACAGTGTAATTACAACACTCAAGTCGCTACTTCATATGGAAATGATATTTGATGAGCTCCAAAAAGCAGCTGGAGAAGCGGGCTGGGGTGGAGAGACAGACGCCACTGGCGGCTGTGGATGCCTCTTCCAGGGGCCGCCCTGACACCCAGGACAGCTGTGCACCCCATGGGAAGGGGAGCCTACGAGGGAGGTGCAGGAAGCCAGATCCAGCCCACTGGGGTGGCCCCCGCCCCCTCCCGGCAGCCCGCCTTGCTTGGTGCCTGCTGGGCACAAAAGAGGGTCCTCTCCTGCCACAGCCCCAAGGGCATACCTGAAGGGCTGTGGATCTGCCTGGCCTGTTTCTTCCTTTCCAGATAGGAAAAGAGAATTCTTAGGTCATCCGTAGGCCAAGGGACCATCTTCCTTTTTATTTGATTCGGTTCTGTTTAATAATGACCGAGTCCTCTGCCACTGCCTCCTGCCACGTGCCAGGCACCTTGTGTAGTCCTGGTGACCAAAGATGAGCGGACCTCAGCCTCTGTCCACGAAGAGGCTATGACTGGGTAGATCGGATGAGTGTGTGCATATGCAGCCAAGGTATTTCTTGTCTGCCCCAGAGTGGAACTCAGGTTGGAAGATTTGTCAGTTACACCAACTGCACTATTAAGCAATAGTTACTTTGTCCCTCCCCGTTTTCCCTTGTAGCTAATCGAAAGTGTATTTCCCTGCCTGGCCCAGCATCTTATCAGCAGGAGATAGCCAGTGTCGCCACCCTGGTATCATTCCAGCGCCAAGCATAGCGGAAGATGTCTGGGTTAGCCTGCTCTCTCTCATCACGACAGAATGTACAAGGCGTGCGAATGCGTCCATTTCTCCTAAGTCTTTTGAGATCATGAAAGAGCTTGGCTACCTCCTCCCTCACTGCCCTCATGGTCTCCTGGGCCCAGGAGCCCTGGCAGGAACCGTTGACGTCCTGTAAGCAGGGTGGGTGAAAGCTGGGAACGAGGCATGCAAGCGTAGATCGTGAAGGCAGAAAAGTGCAGGCTCTCCCCAGAAGAGGGCATGAGGAGGGAAGGGAGGAGGCAGAGGTGGAGGAGGCGGGGGCGGGTCTGCAGTGGCAGGAGTAGACCGCCAGGCTGCGGGCTGTCCCTTCACTTGGAAGGAGACGGAGTCCCTTGAATATTTTCTCTCCTTCCTTCCTTCCTTCAGTGGATGAATAGCTTATCGGGTGCTGGTATATGCCTGGCACCATCCTAGGCACGTAGACCACATCCGTGATCCAGGGGGTCACAAGGCCCCAGCTGTAAGGTGCTTCTGTCCCAGTGGGGGAGCAGTAAAAGAGCAGTACTGGATGAGGATACTGTGTTTCTCAAGTCCGGAAGTCTGTCCTCCTGTCTGTCCCACAGCCAGTGCCCTCCTGCAGAACGCAGGCCCATGTGCCTTGCTCCAGGGCAGCCCCCTGGCCCTTGCACAGGCTCCCTCCCCACTTGCTCAGCCTGGCCCCACCCCTGCCTGTAGTGTGGGCTCTCTAAAACCAGAATCACCTTGTCACTTCCTGCTTTACAACCCTCCACTGCCTGCCTGGGGCCGCCTCCCCTTAGCTTGGGATAGAAACCCCTCATAATCATAGAAACCCCCAGCCTGCCTCGCCCACCTCCTCCCCGGTGCTGGATCGGTCACTGTCCTGTGCCTCTCCATGCCTTTGACGTGCTGTGCCCTCTGCCTGGAATATTCTTCCTTGTGAGTCCTCTCTCCGGCCAGAAATGCCTATGCACCCTACAAAGCTCTGCTCAGAGATCACCTCTTCCATGAAGTCTTCCCTCCTGCCCTGTGCATCCCTGGCATTTTGCACACCTCCTGTCCTGAGGCATCTCTCCTATCAGAGACTCCTGTTTGAGTGTCTACCTTCCCGTCTAGAATGAGAGCTCCCTCGAGGCAAGGGTGCCTGCCCCAGAGCAGTAGCTCAGTACTGGAGAGAAGTAATTCCTTCCCACAGGGGAGGAACTGGCCCTTAACAGCCAAGGAGAATTTAGGAGGGAGACGGGAAATTGTTGGGTTTTGCTTCCTGTCTCCCAGGGTGTGGGATTTGTGCTTGGAGCTTTGGTGCAGATCCTACACTGAGACCACGGAGTCATGTTTCTGTACTGAGGGAGTCACTCTGATCAGCGTGTCTATGCGTGTGCCCACGTGTACACACATGCATGCTCATATGCACACATGTGTTCGTGAGGGCGGGGTGCTGGCGGGCCTCTGTGACATGCAGTGATGCTTAAGACACGGCAGGCGTCACTGAAGCCACAGCCTGTGTTGGTTCTGTGCTTGTGTCTGAGTGGCTGATGCGAGTGGGCGACTCTTTGCAGGAATAGTGAGCCTGATTCAGCCCCCCCCCCCCCCCCGCCCCGGATGATCACTGGTGCGCCTTCCCTGGCGCCTGGTAATCCTGAATGATTTATCCCTTAAAACCCAGCACATATCCATGTTGTCTCTCGTGCACATCAGGATACACTTGGGACGTGTGAGTGATTTCTCGGTTAATACCAGCAAACACACAAAATTTCTGTGCCAGGCCAGTGTGAAACATGTTGCTATATTGTCTCCCAGCATCTGTGAAAGTTCCAGGGACCCCAGCTGTTCTGATCCTGGGCTGCCACGCCCCCTCCCTGCTAGTTAGGCTGTGTGTATTTACACTGAATATGTCAGTGGATTTTAAATTAACTTGAGAGTAGAGAGTGTTTGGGAAAGAGAACTTTCTGACAGTCGCCATGATAATCAGATATCCCAGGACTTTGCCATCCCCAGGATGGAAGCCCCCAGCCGAACCCTGTCCATAAAGCCATGTTGGCACCTGTCACTCACACACTGAACGACAGTCCAGTGCTGGAGTCAGTGGAGGAAGTGCAGAGGGCAGAGGAGGTCGGGTCAGCCCAGGAGCAGGTGCGAAGAGGGTGGCCCTGAGTGCAGGGGGCATTCTGAGAAGTGGGCTGGTGGGAGGAGGCAGGGTGACTGCAAGGACAAGGACAAGTTAGGTTTAGCAGAAGATGGGCAGGGGAAGCCCTTGAGCTGAGGACAGCACATGTGGAAGGCGGGGACACTGGCCGTCCTCACTGACCTGACAGTGGACTTGATCATGAATCAGAGCCACGCCACTCCCAGGTTGGAACTAGTGCTTCCCGAGCACGACCTTTTGCCTTCTCGCTTCATCATACTACTCCCCCATGGCCTCCAATCTAGCTCCACCCCACCCCACTCCCAGAAGCCCTGTCCAGCTTGAGCTCAGCAAACCAGCATCTCAGCACGTGCCCCTTTTTCTTCTAGAACCATCTCTGCCACCGTGCTCAGCCATCTCCCCTCACACCTGTCCCCAAGCCTCACGTCCCCACTAACCTCTCCCAGCCTCCTCTCTGATGGTGCCCTTCCCTGGCCCGTCATGCCTCCGCCTTCACACCACTTCCATCCGTCCGCTTGCATCCCACTCCCCTGTGGAGCCTTCTCTGGGTGTTCTGCGGGAAAGGCCCACCCATCTTCCCAATGCACCCTGCCTTCAAGTGCAGTTGCTCGTGTGTGCGCTCTTAAACTGCTGGATTGTAAGCATCCTTGTATCTTAGGTTGCCCAGCAGTGGGTCTGTGTAAGATAATCAAAAGGAAGGAAAGCAAGAGAAAGGTTGGGGGGAGAGGGTGGGGCCAGATGTTGACCTTAAACAAGGTAGAGTGGCCGCATCTTGACCCTCTGTGCCGTGGGAGGCCCTGTGTGATCCTGATATGAGAAGCACCTCACAGGGCAGCTTTAAGGAGTGGGTCAGAGGAGAGGGGCGTAACTGCCACTCCCAAAGGGGTCCCTTTCACCCCACCTGCTCCCCTCCCTCCCGTGCCTTGGCCCTCCCCATCGCACGTGGCCGAGACGCCAGGGCTAAGATGAGAATGACAGCTGCCCAGTTTTGCTGCAGGAAAACCCGTATTTAATGCTGAAGGGGAACCACCAGGAGATGGAAGGCAATGACCGCTACGAGGGCTTCTGTGTGGACATGCTCAAGGAGCTGGCGGAGATCCTCCGCTTCAACTACAAGATCCGCCTGGTGGGGGACGGCGTCTACGGCGTGCCTGAGGCCAACGGCACCTGGACGGGCATGGTCGGGGAGCTGATCGCCAGGGTAAGGAGCCACCAGGTGATCCGGACTCGCGGGTGGGGCGGGAGGGCGGCGGGCGGATGTCAAGTTGTGCTGTGTGTTCACTCAGTCGGTCATGCACTTTTCATGTGTGTGTTCATTCATGCCCCAGCTCCTTACAGAGCTGGCACGGAGCTGGGCACTGGTGCTGGACATTGGTCAATAAGGCCACCAGGAGCCCTACTCAATGGCTGTCCTAGTCCAGCACCTGGGAAAAGATCACTGAAGCTTTCATGATTAGCATGAATTAGGGCATTTGGCTTCCATTTTGGGGTGATCTAGATGTTTCTGGTTTGTTCTGATGATTTTGCTGCGCACTGGCGTCCCCTGGCAGAGTGGGACGGACCCCTGGGGTGTAGAGCACACACACACACACGTTGGCTGGCTTTGATGCAGGAGGGAGAAGGTCAAGGGGGCTGCGGTGAAATAACAGGGGAAAGGGACCACCTGCCAGAGGAGCTGGTCACAGGGCTGCTGCTTTGTTGCTTCGTGTGCTGTTGCGCCGTCCGTCATGCCCTTGTGCAGACTAAGGGGACGGTGTGTCTGGCTGAGCTGTCGACTGTCGGGGTGGGTGTGGAGACTTGATTCACATGCAGGTGCGCGTGGCGGGATGTCAGTCTGCCATCAGCTTAGAGCGAGGGTATCGGAAGCGCTTCCTGGGGGACACCGCTTGTTTTCTCTGTATTCACTGAGAACCACTGTGAAATTTAATGAGACCGTTGTTCCGTCGCTGAAAATATTTCCACAACTGAGTGTTTGTGATGAGGCAGGGACGAGGACCCAGCGCGCAGAGCCAAGACCTGGGTTCTCAATGCCACCTGGAACGTCTGTGCTTTCGAGAGTGGGAGGGGCTCCCGGCTTGCGCTGATGTGCAAGGTGCTCTACGCGCTGTGTCTCAAATCCTCTTTATGATACATCTTGGTGGAGGCTGGCTTTAGGCACAGCAGTTAAACTGCCTCTCGTAACTCCCCCATCCCTTATTGTAGTTGCTAGGTCCCAGTCCTGGCTCTGCTTCTGACTCCAGCTTCCTGCTAATGCATGTCCTGGGAGGCAGCTGTGATGGCTCAAGTCGTTGGGTCCCTGCCTGATTAACTGAGTTCTGGGCTCCTGGCTTCCGCCTCGGCTGTGCAATCACTTGGAGAGTGCACCAATGTGAGGAAGATTCTCTCTCTCTCTCTCTCTCTCTCTCTCTCTCTACTTCTGACTCTGATCACTGTCTTCCAAATGGATAAAAATAAACAATAAATTAAATTTTAAAGTAAATACCTTTTAGCTCCATGTAATCCTCACTTTGCAAATGAGCGGTCTGAAGGTCAGTGTGCTTGAGTGACTGGTCAGAAGCCACAGTGTTAGTACGAGACAGAGCCAGGATTCGAACTCAGATTCAGTTATTTGTTGAATTCATATGATTTCTTAATTGGAATCTAAGATTAATCTTTAGAATCCTAATCTTCAAGGATACAAATATTAGTTGAAGCACTGAGGAAGCAGTCCTTGAGCAGGCACCGGGAACAGTAGGGCGCGGTGAGAGCGGAGGAGGGAGCCTGGCTTAGGAGCTTCCCTGGCAAGCAGTCTAGACAGTGTCTGCAAACCTCCTTCAGGGAATCGGGAAGCATCCAGAGTGGCGCTGGCTCACAGGTGGGCCCTGGCTGCCCGAGAGGGGCTGTGCCCGGACGGCTGACAAGTCCACGGAGGACCCTCATGGGGGGCGAAGGCTTGGGCAGGGCGCTCCCACTGCTGGGGACGTGTGCGCTGCCCCAGAATGGGATGCGCCGCTTCCGTGACAAGTGTTCCAATTTGGGTTTCCGCTCTGCAGGCTCAGCCCAGCAGTTAAGCATGGGAGTGACAGGCCAGGCCTTGTCCTCACCCTCGTGCCCCCACCACACACACACATCCGGGTCACCTTGAGCCCATTGCTTCTGCACCCTTGGGCTGCGTGGGGCGTGGCAGGGTGACTTCAGGGATGGTGGTGCCAGGGCATAGCCGTCTCCTTATTAGTCCCCTAATGAGCTGTGACTTGGACTGGCAGAAGAGGGAGAGGAGGCTGGCACTCAAGGACAGGCAGCTACCTTACCGAGTGACTTGTGCAATCAGACGGGGATCTTAAAATTCACTCCAGATCGTGCTTCGAGTAAAAGCACGGCTGCTTTGGTCTCATCAAGACTTGGTGACGTGATCTTAATAAGTAATTAGCCCATTAACTCAGCAAATATTTACCGAGCACCTTCGACTGTTCTAGACATTGGAGATTCCAAGGGGTGCAAGCAACCATGGGTGCTGTGCTCAGGAATCCCTAGACCAGCGAGCAAGACAGTTGTTCATGAGTGACCACTAGTGCGTGTCTAATTTCATACCGTGATATGTGCAAGGGAGCAGTTGTGAGAGAGCAGCTCGAGGGAGTGGGGTTCTGTCTGGAGAAGAAAGGGGGCAGAGAGGGCAAGCTTCCCCCAGGAAAGATGTTGGAACTCTGAAGGACAGGTAGGAGTTACCTGAACCAGGAGAAGGGAAGAGCCCCGCAGGAGGCAGGCTGGCTGGGTGCCACACGCGCCGGCCCTCGGCAGCGGCAGGAGACCCTGGCACCCCACCTATCACAGATGTTCCCTGAGGATTATGGCTTGTCCTCTGCCCTAGAGCCTTCCCCTAAACTACCCTGGAAAATTTCAGGGGAAATGGAGGCACAGGTGGGCTAAGTCACTTGGCCAAGATCGCACAGCCAGTGAATTCAAAGCCAGAGTTTATGCCCTTGTCTGTCTGACTTCAGTGCCCAAGAAATGAGAGAGCATCGATCCCTTGACGCTAGGCAGATCCAAGTCAGGATCTCAGTTCATTCACTCGCTAGCTGTGTGCTCTGGGGCAGCTTGTTTCATCTCCCCTCCCCTTCTTCGAAGGCTGCTGTGTTCATCTGCAAAGCCTTGTTTGTAAAGATGTGAGGTCACACACACCCGTGTGCAAATGCACGCACACACACACACGTACATGCACGCACACACATGTGAGAGGTTGGGATGTGGAAGCAGGAGAGTTTCCTTCAGCCAGGCTGCGTAGAAAACAGAATCCACAGCCAGAGCTTCCAGGAAGCAGGAGTGAGGAGGAGGGGAGGGGGCAGGCATGGGAGGAGAGCACGTAGCGGGAGTGCGTTAGTGAGCTGGCCGCAGCGCTGTGCCAAGCACGGCTGATCGGCTGATGGTTAGTCTGCAGAGATGCTGTGAAACTATTGCAGCACTGAGTAGCAGGGAGGGGACTTGTGTGGTGAGAACAAACCCTCACTCACAGCACAGGCTGTCACCGCCCCCACACTCTGGGCTGTGCACCAGGACCCTCCAGAGCCTTTGGAGAAGTCAGAGCCCAGGGCAACAGGGTCAGGGCTCGCAGTGCAAGGCCTATCACATCAGCTGAGCCAGTAGGTGGGCGTGGCCGTAACCTCCTCCCCACCTGCAGCCTCATAGCACAGGTGCCAAGAGGTCTCCGCAAGCCCATGGTACAAGGAGTGAGGTGAGACAACTGAAGGGCCAGCCAGTAGAGCAGGTGGGATACCAGGGTGCACGGCCCCAGCCGCCAGGGCGGAGGCAGAACCTGCTGAGCCTGTCCTAGGGGAGGCGCCAGCCTCCCTTTGTGCGTCACTAGCGCAGGTGGTGCTGGGCGCTCTTCCTGGAGCATTATTGGTAACAGTGAGAGGGCATCTTCCTGGCCAAGCAAACCCAAGGTCGTGGTTTGGCCCTGGAGTCCTTACTACTTGACTTTTAGGCATACCACACAGTCTCTCAGTGCCCTGTTCTTGTTGAAGGAGAATGCAGTCCTTAGGACACATACATACATACATAAATAGAAACCAATCCTCCATCAACAGTGAGGAGCTAAAGGCATTATTTGCATCACAGTGGGGTAAGCTTCAGATTTCCACTCAAGGTGCAAGGATCCTGAACCAGTGGCCTCTAGGCTGGGGCTGGACATCAGCCTACAGGCACAGGTGAGTCATCTGGGACTGTCACCCAAGGAGCGCAAGTAGAACTTGGAAGGAAAGCGAGCGTGTACAAGCAGAAGGTGCCTGAGGTGTGCGCGCACACGGCTACCCACCTGTCTTCCCTGGACAGCGACCACGTGCCAGCAGCAGGCAGTGAAGCCTGGACATCAGGGAGACTCCCCTCTTCCAACAAGGGGCTCGGCAAGCACTCTCTTTGGAGGGCTCAATGGATAGAGCAGCCGCCTGCGTGCGTGAGTGGCACTGTCGGTAGTGTTGGGTGGCGGCACTCGGCATTCTAGAGCCGCAGTGTCTTCCTGTCTGTCTGCTCTAGGAGGTGGGCCTGGGTGCCTGGCCTGCTGTTTGTAGAAGGGCACAGGAACACACTTTCTGCATTTCTGTGAAAATCCTCTAGGCATGTCTTTTGGTGGGAACCCATCTCAAGGTGGAGTCTGGTTGGCATGAAAGCAAGAAGCTTCGTGTAAAGCGGACCAGATGGGCAGCCTCTTGCCCCCCGCCCGATGGCTCATGCCACCGCTGTAGAGGGCTTTCTGGGAGGGTCTCAAACTTGGATTTGTTTTGGCCCCGGAAGCTGCATTTCACATTCTCAGGGCCCTGTTTGGGCCAGAGGAGCATAGACTTGAAGAGCTGGAGCCTCCATGTAGCTTCACAGCTCAGAACAAAGCACGCTGTGGGCATTCCACTCTGCGCTGGCAGAATGGGACATGCAGGTTCAAAAAGAAAAGGGCTTTGGAAGGCTTAGATTCAAGGCTCATAAGCTTTGGACATCAAATAGCTCTTACCAATGACATTTTGACGAATTAAGTGGAAATGAAGCTGAAATACCTCGATGCACTTCCCCTCCTGGGGAAAGGACCTTGGGGGGGAGTTGGCCAGAGACCCGGGAGGGGACCATTCCTGTCTGAGCCTCATGGCGCCAGGAAGGGAGTACAGAGACACTTAAAAAAAAAAAAAAAAAACAAAAAACTGGTCCTCTGGGATTGCTTCCCATCTGGAAGCCAGAGAC